GAGGCTTCCTGCCACCCAGAGGTCTTTTCCAGGCATTGCAAATGAACCCCTGCCAGGTAGACCTTGCTGGAATCGAGGCAGTTCCGGTGGATGCCATCCTGGCCCCTACTTGTTCCATTTTCGTGGCCGTTTTTCAGGTGGGGCAGCTGGATGGTGTGGCCAAGATTCCTGGGGAGTTGAATGTGCCCCCCCAATGCATGCTTGATCCTAGCTCAGAAAAGCAGCCCGAGGGAGAGATGGTTGAGTGGGTACAGGGAGTGGCAAAGGCCTCCTTGCAGAGAGGGCAGGATCCCCGCTTGCTTTCGATGAGGCAGGAAGAAGACCGTGATGAAAGAAGTCCTCCCAGGATCCCAGTCTACTGGACAATGAGGGGCCAGTCTCAAAGATTCCAATTCCTGGGCAAGGTCCCGGAGTGTTTGCTGATTTCTCAGCTCCAGCGGTTCCTGTAGGTGACGGATTACCTGGATCCCTTTCAATCTGGCCGTTTCATGCCTGGTTATAGGCCACAAATCCTCCTAAGCATACAGTAATGCAACAAGGTCCTTTCCAGAAATAACGATTTCTAGCCCCGGTATAATAATACTGATAAATGTTTCAGAAGTTTTAAAAAAGCTACAAGTAAATCCAGAACATTGTAGGTATGGCAATATACATATTGTACTGTAATATAAACAAAATTAAAGTAAGGCAAACCTTGGCTTCCAGAGCATGTAGACTGGGCAAATTAAGGGGACATCTAGATTTCTAGGATACCTTTGTATGTATGTATGTATGTATGTATGTATGTACGTACGTACGTACGTGGGAGGGAAGCAAAGCACTTGCGTGCGTGCGTGCGTGCGTGCGTGCGTGCATGTATGTATGTATGTGTCACTTGCACAGACCAATATGGCTATGCTTTCTGCCAGTAGGAAGGCTTGTTGTTTCAACTTGGGTCACAGGCAGAGCGGGAGGGAAGCACTTGCATGCGTGCATGCGTGCATGTATGTGTGTGTCACTTGCACAGGCCAATATGGCTATGCTTTCTGCCAGTAGGAAGGCTTGTTGTTATGTTTCAACTTGGGGGTTGATTCAAGATGGCCACTCAATGATGACAACTGTCCTATGGCTCGCTCCTTTTTAAAAACCTTTTTATTTTAACCTTATGCTCATCATCCTATTGGGGTGTCCTGAGGGCATCTAGAGACCACCATGTTGGCCTAAATGGTCTTTCAAACACCTGGATTACTGTGGATTATTGGAGCTCAAAGAATCGGCAAAATGGGGAAGAAGGAAACGACAGCAGACTGCTTCTAACTCTACTCCCAAGGTTGCTAAACAACCGCAGCTAGATCAGCGGGACCTCTTTGTGACGGAAACGGTAAGTGAGTCAGCTATGAACACCACTGGAAATAAATTCTCTGCTTTGGCTACAGACTCCCAGGAATACAGTGGGAAAAGTCTCAGTTATTGAAAACCTCACCCTTCTCACTGAGTTGGAAATAGCAGGACCAGCTATGAAACAAACTGTATCTATTCAAGCTGGTGAAGGGTTAGAAACCTCAGAGGAGGGTAAAGATTCATTGACCGTGGTGGATAAGGGGGTGATAAATCTCCAACTATTGAGATTAATGGGGGAGCACTGCATCTTTGAGAAAATCCAGCATATTGTTGATCAGCTGGACCCCCTCCAGAATTTACTAAAACAAACAGGAAAAAAATCACACACACACATCTGACAGCTCCAGGCACAGGGGAAAAGTAAGGGAGACATTCCCAGCAGAGGATAAACAGTACAAGACTCCTCTAAGTCAAACAACCACTTGTCGATGCCTTCTAGTAGCACAAATAATGATAGAAGTGATCCACAAGACAGGATTGAGCACGTCGTGGGGGGGTATCTTTCCTCTGAAAGTCACAGTCCTCCTGCTCACCTTTCCAGTCGCCTCTAGGAATCCATCTCTCTTGTTTGGCGTGCTTTCCCTCTAGGAATCCGTGTCTCTCTGATCTCTTTCTTGTCTCGGACGCTCACTCTCTAGGAATCTTCTCGCTGTTCAAGCAACCAGAATGTCTAAGAGAGTTCCTGTCTAGAAATCCGTCTCTCTTGTCTGGCGTGCTTTCCCTCTAGGAATCCATGTCTCTGTGATCTCTTTCTT